TTTAGCAAAAGCAAAAAGAGATATTCTTATACTAATTGCTCTAGAATACTTATTTTGATTTTAGTGATTAATTAATATTTTAAAGTTCTATTGTGTTAAATCTCAAGTTGAGTTATCTTGTTATCTTAGTAAAAAAAAAAAAAAAAGTGGATGAACCCCCCAAGAAAAACTTATGTTTGTGTTTGATACTACAGGTGTATTTGATTTTTTGGTAGATAATTTTAATTATAATTAAGATTAATTATAATTAATTATAATTAATTTTTATATACCTTCAAATTATTTTTTTATTCATTGGTAAAATAAATTATGTATATATTATTTTCATAAGTTTAGGGACAAATCTAGATTGATAACATGGTAGGTGACATGGAACTTGTGGGGCCATAACTGAAATTCATAAAAAAATAATAAATTAATAAATGGATGGAGGTTGGATGGTAAATAGTAACGGTGTTGGTGTTAGTAACGGGCTTAGGTGAGGCAGGTAACTAATATGAAAATTGAAAGTAGAGTGAGGACTTAGTAACGGGCTTTAGGTGAGGCAAGTCACTAATATGAAAATTGAAAGTAGTGGGATGATAGTAATATGTTCTGGGAGAGTAGAGGGAGATCTTTGAATGATTTCAAAGTATAAGGAGGATAATGAACGAAAAAGGAAAGTAGAGGGGCTATAGTTGGCTTTAACCCAAAGATAAAACGTAACTCCCAGCCTCTGTTCCAATTCAAATTGAGTTTGGTCTGTGGGACAAGTAGAGGACAAAATTAATGGATTATCCAGTTAAAAATAATCATATGACATGACTGTTAAAATTAACGATATAATTATTAAAATTAATATTAAATTTATTTTTATTTTTTATATAAATTAATATTTAAAAGTACAATGTATGCTAAACTAACCTTTGGATCATAAAAATTTATTTATCATGATCTAAGTATATTATAAAAGAAATCATATAAATAAAAAACAAAATTTTTTAATCTATGTCTTAGGGTATATAAATAAAAAATAATTATAATAAATATATTTTTTAGTTATTAGATTATATTGAAAAGTTTATTTTCAATCTATTAATCTCTAAATTAAAATTATTTATGTAACATAATATTAAAATTAATATTAAATTTATTTTTATTTTTTATATAAATTAATATTTAAAAGTACAATGTATGCTAAACTAACCTTTAGATCATAAATATTTATTTATCATGATCTAAGCATATCATAAAAGAAATCATATAGCATTTGGGTTTTCGGTCAGTAACATCAGATCACGTATAAATGTATTTTTTTTGTTAAGGTAATAATTAAAATTCGATTCTTTGTAAATTTGTTTAAATAAATAAATAAATAAATAAATAAATTATATAAATAAAAAAACAAAATTTTTTAATCTATACCTTAGG